GGACCCAGGAATTAGTGCTGCATCCAGCTTTCCTGTGGCTCCAACCAGAAGTGTGCACAAACAGAACAGGAACTTGACTCACCTCTCAGACAGCTCTGGGGATGTTGTGAGTCTGCCAGAGATGACAATCAGGCCCCACGAACACTGAGGTTTGCGATTATGCAGACCCACAAGGTCAGCTGGTGATTGGGGCTGGGGATTAAGCTCTCGGATCTCCCAGGCATGCCCCCAAATGAAATAGGGACTGAGCACTTAATTCACAGACACCGACACCAAAAGTACAAGTTATAAAAAGGAGAGGTTTATTAGCCGAGAGCCAGCCAGCGGACACTTGCCTGCTGGACATGCAAGTCCCACAGCAACGGCCCCCATGGGGCAAAACCACACAGGGACTTTCCAAGTGGGCCAAACCACAACATCCTGGAGGCCTAGGTACTTTTCAAGCAATGCTAATGGAGTTCACAGAAGCAGAAAAAAATTGTTTAACATTTTAACCTAGCCAGCAGGTGCTGTTGCCAGTTTCCAGGAAGGGAACTTTTTTAACTGTGCAAAGGATGAGTACATGCTTAACTGTGCAAAGGCTGAGTTTATGCTTAGCCTAATTTTTGACATTGTAGATGTCTTTTTAAGCCCCCTTCCACAGGTATACAAAAAATTAAATCTTTCTTGGAGGCCATTAAAAATTTCTGGCTGCTAATTTGAATGCTTATCTCACATTAATTTAATGCAATAGTTGATATATCTGGGTTTAAAGATACCCTCTTATTTTGTGGTTTTCTTGTTCTTCACCTGGTACTTAAAAAAAAAACCTTCTATTCATTTGCAATCCAAGTTTTTTCTAGTTTGGAAGATATATTCTTTGACTTTATTCTTGTTTAAGGTAAAAATTACAGATTTTTCTTACATTAGAGCACAGAGCTATACTTTCACTTTCTTCCTGGACAATATAAGGCACGTAGAACATTAATCACTTTGTCTAATCTCAATTTCTTTTCTTTTTTTTAAATTTTAAAGTTGTGGGGTACAGGTCAGGATTAGGTACATAAGTTAAAGTTTAGGAACAGGCAAAGTGTCGGGCCTCCCATTGGCCCTCATTTCGCCTGGATTAAGATCAGGCATGTTTATTGATGTTATTTGTCCCTCTTTCCTCCCCTAGGAGTGTACCACTACTTCTAGTCCCTTTTTGGTAGTATTATGATAGGTGTTCAGGGTCTACTTATGAGTGAGAACATGTGGTATTCAGTGTCCCATCTCAATTTCTATGTTTTTGTTGCTTTGCATGGTAATTTCATCACTCTAACTCCACAGGGAATATGACTCATGTTTTATACAGATAATGAGTAGTTGTATTAATCCACAAAAGTCTTTCTCTCTTAGATTCTCACTGCTTTTTTCACCGTGGATTATTCACCTAAAATCACTTTTTATTGTTCTTAAATATAACCATATGCAGGTAAATTTTCCATGAAAATTTTTGGCCTGAAGTTGTCTTATTTCGTATTTTTTTTGAAAGACACTTTTGATATACAGAGAAACTGAGGATGGCAGTAATTTCTTCAGCAGTTTGAATAGATCCTTTTGCTGTGTCCCTGAAGCACAACTGCATATTGGGAGTGAGTGGTGACAATAGACTTTATTTATAACCTCCTGGTATTGTATCAGGTTAGGAACATAAATGCTAGGATTGAAACTGAGGCAACGAGTGGGCAGGGTTTGGAGTTGTCACAGAGAAGAGGAACTGAGAATGTTGAATGTGTAGGAGGAATAAAAAATAGGTATCTGGTTATTAAACTGATGGAGTGTTCTAGAAACTGGCTCACCAATCTGTTTTTCTTTTTTGTGTACACCCAGTTTCCCTTACACTTAATTTAGAACATATCTATTAGTGTGGGGCAGTGAAAAATGGGCAGAAATAATTGTGAAGTTGTTTTCTTGTCTTGTGCCTTTTCCTGGTATGGCCTTCTTGGCCCTCAGTGGTTCCAGTTTCTATACTTTCCCAGGTTTTGGTGCTCCTTTGTGGGCTGCAGGTTCAGGTAGTAGGGCTACTTAAGCCTTGATGAGGACAGCTCCTGGTAGCCTCCAGCTAATAGACATCAAGCTGGGACATCTCATGATCACATATCTGTACCTGGATCTGTCTGTTCTGAACACCACAGAGGAGTCAGGAAAAAAGGGAGCTTCTGGTTCCTGTGAACTAGGGATGAGTAATAATATGCCATCTTACAAACTTGAAACCATGTCCATTTCACTGTCCACTTAGGCCTGAAGGCACTTGGCTTTGGTGCTTCTAAGTGTTAAATCATGTAACCTGTAGGAATTTGTTCCCTGGACAATAGGTCTTCCTAGAGTTTACGAAGCCTTTTGCATGCTGTGTTTGTTTTTTTTTTTTTAAATAAAACAGAAAAGTCACTTGCATAAGAATGAAATTAGACTCTTATCTCATACCATATACAAAATCAAGTCAAAAGGGATTAAAAACTTAAAAGTAAAACCCCAAACTGTAAAACTATTAGAACAAAATGTAGAGGAAAAGCTCTATGTCATTGGTCTGAGCAGTGATTTTTTTTAGATATGACCCCCGAAACACAGGCAACAAAAGTAGACATAAGCAAATGAGATTGCATCAAACTAAAAAGCTTCTCTACAGCAAAGGAAATAATCAACAAAGAGACAACCAATGCAAGGGGAGAAAATATTTGCACACCATACATCTGATAAAGGGTTAATATCCAAAATATATATAATGAACTCAAAGAACCCCATAACAACAAAATAACCAGGCTAAAAAATGGGCAAAGGACCTGAATGTGCATTTCTCAAAAGAAGACATACAAATGGCCAACAGGCATATGAAAAAATATTTAATATCACTGGACATCATGGAAATCCAAATTAAAATTACAATGAGATATTACCTCACATCTGTTAAGATGGCTATTTAAAAGACAAGAGACAACAAGTGTTGGTGGGGATAGGGAGAAAAGGGAACCCTTGCACAGTGATGACAGAAATGTAAATTAGTAAGTACACCCATCATGGAAAACCATATGGAAGTTCCTAAAAAAATGAAAAATAGATTACCATATGACCCAACAATCCTACTACTGGGTATATATTCAAAGGAATTGAAATTGGCATGTCAAAGAGATATCTGAACTCCCATGTTTATTGTAGCATTATTCACAATAGCCAAGATATGGAAACAACTGAAGTGCCCATCAACAGATGAAAATGTGATATATATTCACAGTGGAATACTATTCAGTGGAATACTATTCAGCAATAAAGAAAAAGGACAACCTGTTATTTACAACAACATAGTTGGACCTTTAGAACATTATATTAAGAGAAATAAGCCAGACACAGAAGGGCAAACACTGCATGATCTCACTCATATATGAAATCTAAAAAAACTGACCTCACAGAAGTACAGAGTAGAATGCTGGTTACCAGAGGCTGGGGTGGTGGCAAAGGTGAGGGTGAGGTGCTGGGGAGATGTTGGTCAAAGGATACAGAATTTCAGATAGGAGGAATAAGTTCAAGAGATCTATTTAGGAGAAATAAGTTCAAGAGATCTATCGTGCAACCTGGTGACTTCAGTTAATAACAGTATGTTGTATTCTTGAAAAATGCTGGGAGTAGATTTTAAGCCTTTTTGCCACTAGAACGATAACTATGAGAAGTGTTACATATGTCAATGAGCTTGATTTAGCTACTTCACAGTATATGCACTGTATTTCAAAACATCAAGCTGCATGCAATAAATATACACTTGTGAACTTAAAAAAATTAAGAATTCAGCCGATCAAAAGTAAATATAATAAAGGAGCCAAGTGTTACCACAGTGTGCTTTCATGTAAAAATTATGATCATTACCTTCGAGGCTACTTGCTGAGCTAGACAGTCATTGTAGTTTATATTTTGACAAATAACCCCAAATACTGCACAGGGGTGTCTCTTACTTGGCCTCCCACAGCAGTGTTTGTGAGAGTCTTGTGGTGATGACAAGGATGATAACAATATATGCAGCAAGCAGGAACTATATACCCGGCCTTGTTACCTTCCACGAAATATGTAGTGGTTTTTTTTTTTGCCCACTTTATTTACTGGCTTTAATGACAGTCCCTGTGCTCATATTGTAGTACCCCAGAGGGCCCCATCCCCAGAATTGCTGAGTCCTTAGGTTTAGACTATTGCCCCAGGACTTGCATTTCCAACCGATTTCCTGGTGATGCCTGAGTTTACTGGTTTAAGAAGCACTGAATTCGAGCAACATTTAATGTTAGTACGCAAAGACCCCGCCAATTGGGTATTATCCTAATCTTTCAATGTGAATTTAGGTCCCCGAGTGAGAGGTGAAGGGGCTCGCCAAGGCCCAGACGGGCGGGAAGGGCAGGGAGCGGGTGTCCCCTTCCGGACCCCGGGGGGCGGGCGGGGCGTGGCGCTCGGTGGCCGCAGGAGCGGCCCCTTTAAGAGGACGGCTCACGGGCGGCAGGCGGAAGTGGCGGGGACCCGGCCGGGCCCGAGGCGGGACGGAAACGCGATCCCGGCGGCCGCGCCTGCGCGTCAGGGCCGGCGCCGGGCCGCGGACCACTGGGGAGAGTGCGACTCTCTCGGCCGCCCGGGTGGGGGCGGGACTTCCTGCGTCGCCGCCCGGCCTGTCATTTCGCGTAGGGAGGGCTGCGCCCCCGAGGCCGGGGGGCCCGGGGCGGGGCGCTGGGTCAGTGCAGCCGCCCAGGCGGTCGTAGGGGACCGCGCGGGGAAGGACAGTGAGGCCGGGACCCCCCCGCCCCCCGCGCCTTGGTGCCAGCGCGCCCCCTGGGACTGGGGTGTCTCGCCGGGCCGCGCC